CTGAATGGAAGCGGCGGGAACGCTTAATCCAATGCGGAATGCGCAATCTAATAATTCGGGATATTTTAGACTGATCCTTCATCGGCGGCGAAATTGAAATCTGTAATATCCTCCTCTCGATCAAAAGCGATATCAGGTACAGGGATTCCTGCTCCGCGAGGAACCGTTCCGAGCGATCCTGCACTCCAAGTAACGAAATCAATGCGATTCGATTCGAGTAGCAAGGGTATAGAGATAATTTACGTCAATCTACCCAGCAGTTCCACCATTTTACCGTTCAACTAAGTTTCTGTTGACAACTTTGGCTTGCAAACACCGATAGATCGATCCATGAGGCAATCGAACCTTCCCTGGCATAGTTTCGTAGACTAAAAGAAGAGCATCGAGTAACGACGAAATAACGAAAATTGCGTGAAATAGACGGATTCGTGTCTGTCTCTCAAACAAAGGGCAACTTGGCACGAGCGTGAAAGTAGGAGTCGTACCTGATTCATAGTTAGTCTTGAATGGCAAATCGAGTTACCTCCAGCTACAGCTTCTTAGCAGTATACAACAAATACGTTTCAAGGATGACTACGTTGGTAACAAAGGGACGCGGAGCTTACGAGATCAAAATTTTAGATCGACCTAGTAAACGTCGTAAAGAAGTTTATTCGATGATACGCGAAGTCTCGAAACGTTGCAAGATATACAGCTTAAATAAATAGAAGGAACTCTAAAGTCCCTCTTCCTTTTTCCCGATCTCGAACGTTTTTATCGATACCAGGCAAGAGGATTGCTCGAATTGCAAATAAAGTGGGATACTATCCAGTTATCAGCTACCTTTAGAACTACCTTCCTATCGTGAAATATATATTAAATTGCTCGATAGGGTGCAGTTTTACGTCGCATGCAAAATGGAAGACACCTGTAGGTACTTATGGGAATGGAACGTCTTCGGAACCTTTAAACGCTCGCGTCAGGGTTTGTCAAGAGTTGCGAATCGGTGAAAAACTTACAATGCTCGCCACGTGCTCGGAAATGTCTCCGTTGGTCAGAATTTCCTCCACAGCGACGGGGGTGCTGGATGCATGAGGAGGTGGCGTGTCGACGAGGAAAGGCGATCTCGGTGGTTCCTCGCTCTGCGTCCTGTGGAGGGGTTCGTGTTCCGTTTCTTCCTTTCCAGGGGTACCAGTCTGACTGCCGCCCAGCGGAGTGCCCAGCTGGCCAGCCTCCGAATAACTTTTCGTCAACTTCCTCCCGTTGAAGAGGCCGTTTGTCTGAGCGCCTTGGGACACCATTTTCACTCGGTGTATCGTCCCGGGACTGAGGCTGACGGGAATCCGACGGCGAAACACGGCCGGGAGCTCCGTCTGGGTCGCCTGAGTCTTCATCGCGCCGCGTTTCGGTGGCTTTTCTGGAACGAAATTCACGCTACAACGGCAAAAATCGACGAACGCGTCTCCAAGCTGATTGCCGACGATGGCATCAATCGGTTCAGTGGTTGAAATACCGAAGCCAGTGATATGCGAGCCGTTCATTGCAGAAATCGACCAAAATAATTTTGTCGTTTAATGGCGTTAATACGAGAATACTTATGGGACTGACTGTATGTTTGACTATTTTTTTGCCCCATAAGTGGCTGATTCGTTCAAACAGTAGGCTCTCTATCCATGGTCTAATAAAAGTCAATTGGCCGCGCGTAGCCATTTTGGGGACACCCTGTCATACCGTTTAGTTCCTCCTACTTCTTCATTGTGTTTTCGTATCAACTTGCAGAGACCCTCCGTACGTCTCAAGTAGGAATACGCAAGAGTGGTGTCTGGAGTATGAGATACAATGGAGGGGTGTGCTGTAATAAGGAGATAGCTCCATTTTTCCAAATTTTCCTCCTTATTGCACCACGAAAAAAGGAATGATTTAAATACGTAAATATCCTCCTTATTGCAACACACCTCTCAATTTCTGAGACTCTCTAAACGCGTTTCGACTGTTAAACAAAGACTCGACTATGAAAAAAAGGATAGAGATTAGATGAACACAGGAAACCTGAAATTAACCTGATAACATAATTTATCCTGGCATCGTAATTCGACGTTCGCTGGGAATTAATCGAGAAAGCAAAATTAATGCCTTCGCCGATTCGACCTGGCGCCACTTGGGAATCGAGACTACTATCGATGCAGCGAAACTACTCGAAATCGTTATCATTTCCTATACGAATTCAATGTGAAGACCCATTGGGCCGCGTATATTGGCAATTTGGTGGCTAATATTGAGTTAACAGCCGGTCGCTGGGCGAGAAGTTAATATTCGAGTAGGCCTGATAATCTGCAGAGCATGTGGAGTAGAATTGGGAACGAACTTCGGTTCCTTCCAACGCGATACGGTTGAACCGCGATTATCCTAATTGCGCGCTGGCGAATGTTAGCATTTATAATTGGGCCTCTCGGAAGTCAAACCGATCGACACCGTTTGCCACGAAGATCTCAATTTCAGCTATCATAAATTTCAGGTAATCGAAACAACGACTGCACCAACGTTTCCGTATCATTCGCGATGTTAATGTTTAATCCAATTTAGAAAAAGGAATACGATTAGAGCATCGAGCAAGAGTTTGAATCGTTATTAACGTTCCTCTGCGAATCCCAAAATTTGTACAGTCTTAGCATTACTTTTCCCTCGAATATTGTTTGCGAGAGATATTAAAAATGTCGAGCGCGTATACGTTAAATCTCGTAAAAGTTTTCGTTTCAGGATCTGTACCTATTTCCCGGAAGGGGAAGAGGGACTGTAAGGGGAGAGACTTTTAAGTGTGCCATTCTATAGAAACACTTTTTTAAAGAGGTGTCCTTAGTCCAGTGAGGATCTATTTAGTTACACGGGCAAAGTGTGTATGTGCTTTTGAGGAACGAGTGGAGCTACGCGTTTCGCGAAAAAGTCAGTCGAGAGTCGGCTATGAAAGAGCGTGAATACGTGAAAATTGACCCGTAAAGTGTAGCCATGAGATTCGCGAAATTAAAAAAAAAAAAAAAAACGATTTCTTATCCGTATTCTTTTTCTCCTAGCGTAACCTAGCCGTAAAAACGGAGCATCCGAGTTTGATTTCTTTTATGGCTTTATCACGCCGAAGTTTAAGACGCGGATACATAATTTAACGAAAGATACCAACTGGGGATACATGAATGCGCGAAGTACCAAGTACGAGACGCGGCCAAAGTGCCATTATTAAACTTCAGCTCAAACTTATCCTACAAAGGATCACGAAGAGGATGCTCTCGCGTTATTACTTTCTTTGGGTCTCTTTCTTCGTTTAAGACAGAACAAATTTGTTGGGAAAAATTTGAATACCTTAACTTCCTATGAAAGTGCTTTCCAAGTAGTGTACCTACGATAATTCAGACACAAAGCGCATTCGCATAGTCTTTCAAAGGCGGATCGTACGATTCTTTAATATAGGTTCTCGTAATACTCTTCGAGCCAATGAGCGTTTCCCACGACTATTCGAAATCTAAATAAATATCTGTCTTTCGATATATTCAACTTTCGACATTATTCGCGGAGCACCGTTTAACGTTTCGATCTCGATGCGATAATTTACCCATGAATACCAATTCTGTAAGCAACCCAGCGATTAACTTTACCGTAACCCTCCGTTACCTTCGACGACATCTTCAACAGGTTACGTTACGTAGCGCAGAGCAAATTTACCGCGCGAGTGTTAACCGTTGCTGAACTTATACATGAGAAAAGAAACTCACCGAGGACAAGAACGCGCGGCTCGCTGGCAGCGTAAGGGTGCATCAGGGGTAAGGTCGAAGGAAGCATTGTGTTCTGCATCGTTGGCTGCGAATCTATAAGCCGTTCCGGGTTCTGCGGTCTCGGAGAACTTCTGCTCCTCGGGACATCAAAGGACGTGAGGGTGTGCGACCTCGCGAAGCTGACGTGCTTCGTTTTCGGGGCTTGTGATGACGGCGGCGGGGGTGCGGGAGGCAAAACCGGCCGTGGACCCTCCAGTTTCGTCGATTCCTCGTCCTCGGGAAGCCAAGTGTACCTTAAATGGAAAAAACTTTGGAAAACTCCCGCCATGTTGGGGTCAATTGAATCGTGAACCGTATAAGTATGCGAACGGGAGCGATTCAAGTCCTCCCAGCTGGCCAGCCTTTTCTCCCAGCCTCTGTTGGCTCGCAAAATTCAAGGGTTTCGTTTATACGAGACGGTAAATTATTCATTTTGCTAATTTATGCGACACTTTATACAGGAGAGAGCCGCTCGGTTATTGCGAATTTAAGCGGACCTTTCACCCTCGAACACCAAAAAAAGGCGTTTCTTTGTGAATTTTTTACTCAAACACTGTTAGCTTTTTCGAACTTTGTACGTTATATTTATTTGCACGTATTTCGAGAAAACATTTCTAGCGCGGATTTGCTCGGAATGGATTAGTAACTAACTGGTTACTGGTTACTAATGAGTAACGCCGTGTGCCCCAGTGACTCGATTAGCCGTTTGGTCGGTAGACATTTATTTTTCCTTGGTGACTCTCACTTTTTATTAACGCAAGGCAGAAATAGGAAGAGGCGAAGGGAGAGCGAGTGAGAGAGAGAGAGAGAGAGAGAGAGAGAGAGAGAGAGAGAGATTACTACACACGGTGACTGCATTTTCATTCCTATTGTGTCGACCACAAGCCGATCTCACGCGTGACAGGTATTATCTTGAGAAAAGTGGGTGACAGCGGGACGCGTTGATTCTCTGACGTTGAAACAACGACCTAAATAAATTGCATTTAGATTTCAGCTCGTCTTCGAGGATGCGTTATTATTCCGTCGTTGATGCGGGCATTCTCTTCTAATTTTAATAAAACGAATCCTCCTTCCACTTTCGTGCATCTCCGACAACGTGAACTGCTTTCTGGTAGCTTATTATACAACTTCCCATTTGCGTGCGAAGCTATTGTTGCCCATTCTCTTCCGTACATAAACAAGTTTTTAAACAAGAAACGCGAATATGTAATATACACAGCCTCCTCGTACCATGCTTTTGTTTCGTTAAAAAAAATCTTACAAAAATAAAGGAAATAACTGCCAATACGAATAATAAATTTTATTTCACCTCCCAGGTCAAACGCCGTGTTTATATAATCCGTTATACCAAGGAGAGAATCTAAATCTTTGATCGAAACGTTTAATAGTAAACTACGCTTGTGTGTGTTACAGGTAAACATTTGTGTTAGCTGTCGATGTTTGTTTTCTATTGTAGCTTCTGGGTACACCTTATATAAAATCGACTCGCCACGTGTCGCATTTATAGCTGCAGTTTTCGCGTCGATACGCCGATAACGTATAAATACATCAATTTACTCCGGGAACATAATTTTTCATCGATCGTTTACACGCAACCTTGAAACAACGTCGTCATTGAAGCTTCTGTGCACCACTCGCGCCAATTAGAAATAAACTGAACCACTCAACGCGTCGTCGAACCCGTAATCTCTTACTACTACCTTCGAAACAGCTGATGCTATCCAGATGCAAGACAAGGATTAGAATTAGAATCTGAATGAAAGTCTCGAATATCAAAAAAAAAAAAAAAAAGGTACAGAACTTTCCATAAATCACTCGTTAAATAGAAATTGGAATTTGAATGATAACGTTATACTTTGTCAAGCTCCATCTTGAGATTTAATCGGAGCTCTGCACTCTATGGGAAAGCGGTTAATTTTCCTTTCTGCCACTTCAGGATATTTATGTCGTCGAATCACGGCACCGTGAAAGTCCAGATATTTTCTTCGGTGGCAGTAAATCTCTTTACACTCCATGAACGTTGTCATCGTTATAGCGAAACCAGTAGTAAATTCGCTGTACGACTAGTGATTAACGCGTCGCGAGGCAGAAAGTAGTTTTCTTATAAACTCGCGCGGCAAGATCGATCGAAACTCTTTTGGTAGGTAGTTGGTAATTATCGCTCATTCAGAATTATTTATTTTCGGAATGATCTTCGAGTTTATCGATAAATATATCACAATGCGATGATCAAGGGATTTCTTGAGTTCGAGGTCATGTAACGATACTTGACTGACTTCGTCCCTCTGTGTCAGCTCCATCACAGAGGAGATAAAAATACAAAGTTTCCTTTAACAAAAACATTGATGGCCTTAAGAACGCTGCGTAATACGATTCCGAGGATAACAATTCAACGCAAATTCTAAAAGATCCTAGCACCGATCTCGCAGTTCGATCATTTTTTCTTCGCTATGACTACACGTATTTTTGTTGGCGGTACCCTAAAAGTAGAGCTTACCTTTTCGGATCGGACACAGTGCAGAAGGATCTGGGTCGACGCCGCAAGTAGGAACTCTCGATCCAGTCGGCTTCATCCTCGAAGTCGTAACGGTACAGACCCCTCGAATAGGTCGAATGAGGTTGACGGAACATGATTTGGAGGGATCGTCTGGGATAGGGAGCGTCGCAGAGGTTCTCGTCGCTGGGGACGCTTCTTACGCAAGCGGAGAGGATCGAGGTTCGCGCGGCGCTGCACGGCGATGGCCCTCTCGTCGACAGGCAACCGAAGAACCCACCCTCGGATTTCTCGACAGCGTCCAATTGCCTACTGGTTATGCAATACTGCTCTTTGATGTCCTCGCGGGAGTAGAGCGGGGTCGCTCTACGATCCCAGTCGATGCTAATGTTACCACCCGACGCACCAAAACCGCCATGCAGATCCACCTGGGTCGAGACGTCCACCTGTCATGCACACAAGGTTTAGTCTAATTAGTGGAAAATCGATGTAGGACGCGTCGCTGTTTGATTGATAGCGTCGCGGCGAGCGTAAAACTAATTTCGTGGAGGACCGCAGGCTGATTCGAGGAGCAGACGACGTTCTTCAACGACTCTGGCAAATATTTTATACATCGGTGGATATTTTTGTTGTAAATGCGTTCTCTATTTATAACGGGACATCGGAATGCTTCTAAAAATAAACAGCCGGAGGACCGAACGTTAGCCAATGAATTAATTAAAAAGCAAATCGATAACAGAAGCTTGAACTTGACCGAATTACAATGTTACGGTGTATAATTGCAGGTACAGACGTAAGATAGATACGACGAAGAATGATGGGCAATATCGAAATGTCTTTTCCGAACAGGTGAAGAAATTGCACGCGATTGTTAAGAACCAGTAGCATTCCTGGCCTTTACACGCTAAATAATTTCTATCGTTGAAACCGAGGTTAATTAACGAACGACAATGCGAACATTGTTGCGACGCATGTGCAATATTGCAAGTTAAAATTCCGCGAGTACTTTCTATGCCACTCGACACCGCCACGAATCCCGCGTACGAAACACATTACTGTGTCAAGTGTGAAACACTTAACCCAGCTGCGCATTACAATATTACTTTCCTACTCGTGAGGCAGGAAATGTATTGTAACCGCGGAAAATTTCGAAACAACTTTTAGAATGGAGAAATACGTTTCAAGAACTCCCGATTATCCGTTGGTTATTTAAAAAGAATCAGAGTTTCCGGCATCTCATTCGATACGTTTGTAAAAATATCCCTCCGTTTGGATAATTATTTTTTTCGATTGAATTTCAATTAAAACCACGCATCGAACAATTTCGCAACGCATTGGTCCCTGTCGAGATTCTTTACAACGAACAACGACGTTTTATGGCGAAAGTGCGAAACAAACATCGTCGAATTTACCGGCGGAAATGTATATCCCGCGGTTTCCATGAAATTTACACCGACGTTTACCCCAGTTCTGGCAACAGCCCGATTCATCTGTTAATACTTGTCAATTTCTAATTGCTCTAAAAAAAGGGGCAAACATTCTTTCATCTCCTATTAACGCCGGTTGGGTTTCGTGTTACCGGATCCAAGCCATCGATCGTTCAAATAAATCGATACGACGCGTCGAACGGAAATTGGACCGCTATTAGCGTCAGCCGAATTATTGATACACGAGGTGAAACTTAAAAAGACCAAACGCGCGTCCCGTGCATCCGATGCATCGATCGTTTCGTGCGTCAATCTGCTCGCGGCTCGCCTGTCACGAGTAGAATATTTAGATTATTAGGAAACCGATTCGCAGACCACCCTCTATTCCCGTACCAGGCTAATCGAGTTATGAAATCGACGTGTTACGAAAAAGTTAATCGACTTTGATGGTAACGATGTCCGAAATGGAACAATTATTCGAAGCATGGGAATGACTATTTTTGTCCGTAAGGTCGCGTCGTTGGATAACCAAGCGTTCCTATTTCGCTTGACATCGTAGCGTGGGTGGTCATTGGAGTTAATTGTGATACTTTCACCGGTTGCATAGCACCCGATTTCTTCACCGACGCTAATTGTTCCATGCTTTCCATCCGTGATGCGTTTGATTTCCAATAAGACCAGCCGACTTCGACGTTAATTTTGCAACGGTAATTTCGATGAAGTGTTTCCCTGAATTCAAATTCTTATTTAACACCGAAGCTCCTTTGATACTACTACTTTACAAAAATGCGTTAGTCTCCGCGATACCGAACAAGTCACGCCCGTATCGCCAAGTTCGCTGTTCGCAAAGTCCGAACAATCCCGATGGTTCGACGATTCAATCGCTTTTCCTTCTCGATAACTACTCGAATCGTTCGATGGTTTCGACGGAACTGAAAAAGGTACTAGGAGCAATCTTCGGATTTTTGACGTACTCCTTTTTTTTTTTTTTGCAAACAAATCCGACGCACTTGGTTTCAGTTTACTTGAACCTTTCAATGAAAGTGGTGCGGTTAGTGCGCCGCAGAAAAGGTTTTAGTCGCCGATAAAATGGGTTTTCTCCATCGCTGTCGATATCCGCTTGCGAACGATCGAAGAAAATTCGCCGTGCCACGAATGTCTCGAAAGTCTCTTTGTTCAAATATCATAAAGGTTCCATTATTGCGAAATGGATGGAAGTTGGTTACATTTACAAGCGCGCGTGTTACGCGTTCATGCATATACACGTGGACGTATATCGAATTCCCATCAATCGATGATATAGTAGAACTTTTATGACGCTTAATCATGGGTAGGGCTGTACCCGTCAAATATTCACGCGTCGAGGATCGTTGCACGTGTTAGCGAATTTTACAGAAAATTAGCGGAAATGAACATTCTGAAAAATCACGAAACAGAGAGATAAATTGCTTAGAGGAAGAAAGACGAGGGGGATGTTTCAAAATATTTTGCTTTAAAATATAGAATAATTATTTGTATCGTGCCGACGAAACGAATGAAATAATTAGTTTCTCTACGTGTTCTGAAATTTCAGAAATCCCTGTGTCATTTTACCCGAATCCCGCAGCGTAGAAATATAAATTGCAGTTGGATGTCGCGATGACACGTGTATCCTTGACATTTCCATTTCGCGTACGACACTCGAAAAACGATAATTGATTGTTAGGGATTAATTAAGATTTTCTGCGTTAGCGGACGCTGGAAGCGGGTTCGTTAGGCTCGTAGCAATTGCACCTATGTCTCTCTACGCGATATTTTATTTTCGACAGCGTGAAAATTGGACATTATGGCCGTGATATCGGATGAAACAATGACGCGATGTTCCGGTCAAACGGCCAGGGGATAACGATTCGACACACTTGTACAAAAATAACACGGAGAAGTCGCATTTGAATGCATGAAATATCGATGGAACTCCCGATATTCGCTGCTAATGCCCGCGAATGGTGCCTGAACGCGATTATTGTAAAATATTAAGAGTTAAGTGCTAAGAGCTTATCGGTTAAATTAAACCGAATTGCAATAAAATTGTTCCATTTATACCATTTGCAGATTTAAAAATCGCCGCGGGAGAATTAGCTACAGTTGAACGAATAGTGTAAAAAGAGATTCGATTTGGTTAGAAAATGACCGATGAAGTTAACTTTTACAAAAGCAAGAATCTTCTCGTTGTCGTGGATAAGTGATACGAGTTACCCATTTACTAAAAATATTTTCATGGAAAGAATAGTACGATTCCGATTTGAGCGAAATGGTAAAATCACTTCCGACGTTTCCATTCGCTGGGGACAGAGAAGAGACTTATTATTCTCTTTCAAAATTTTTTTCATCGCAAGCTGTCGCTACCCTTCTACTCCAATAATTCTCTGTTGTAAAACTGCAAAAAGGTGAAAAAAATGTCCCGTACCGAAGATCAATAATGCGATGCGGGTTCTTACGTATGACAAGAAAATCCAACCGTGTAAAATGTTCCATAAAAACGATCGAAACGAATATTACAAAAGTTCATTTCTTTTTATTTTATTTTATTTTTTTTTTTTTAAGTAAAACGATTACGTTTAAAGTAAGGAAAATAATGACAAATATCTTCAATCCCCCAAGCGCGAACCATAAAATTGCATCCGAGACTCTGCAGCTGCACGGACCTCCCGGGTAGAGGAGACAATTTATATAAATGGACAGTTAGAAATGACAAGTGCTCCGTGTTATGGTCATCGAGAACATGCAGCGTCTCGTGAACATACTCGACGGTATGGTGGTTATGGAACGCGGTAAATCTGTTCCCAGAAAACAATCTGGATTTCTGGAAACGTTTTCCCACTCGATAGCTCGGATCTCCTGGGAACTATGTATTAGCCTTAGAATTAGTGTCGTTTAGTAAGATGGTGTGCGTGCGGAGGAAACGCTATTTCCTTCGAGTAGATTTATGTTCTTCAGGGCTACGGTCATATAAAAATAATAATTTTGATGGCATCGTTACACGCGTGAAATCAAGTCGCGACGAGCTAAACGAACTGGAGTTTTGTTCGAACTATACGTGACCTTCTCGTTAATTAGTTGAGCGTGGTAACGTACGTAGTACGGTGTTCGTGACAGGTCGTACGAGTGGCTATGAAATGACGCCCGTTCTGTCAATAGATTCGTGATATGGAAAGTACAAAGTAGGTTATTAATTCAAGGATTGTATATTACAAACTTTTACGCGTTAAATATATTTCATTATATTCTCAGTCTCTGTACACTTTGAAGATTGAGAGATGTAAAAACGCATAGCGTACATTGTAGTTGCTTCAAAATACGAGCAACGTACAACGTACATTAGAATAATTAAAAATGTACAGGGTGCGATATATGCAGAATAACAACCGAAGTAATTACGCTATACGCTGCATCTTGTTTTTTTTTATAATTTCAATTATTGTAATGCACATTCTTTCTGGGATTATCATATTCTTGCTATGTCTATCTTCAGAGACAAATAGCTCGTTTCACCCTGTCCCTTCTCTAAGGGATTGAAGCTCGATCTTGAGCGCCAAAGTGCTCGACGCATGCGCGATTGAGATGCGCAAGAGCATTTTTCCCGCTAACGCATAATGAAGCGATTCTAACTTTCTGAAATATCTAACCTAAACGCGATTAATCTAACAACTCGAACTGTTACAAATCGACAGATTTATGATACAACGTACATGTACGCAAAAGATGTGAACGACGCGCACGTCGGCGGTCAATTCAAATTGAACATATATAGATCGCTTTCTCGCGCAAATACAAAATTGCCGAAGAAAATAAATGAATCAACGATAGAATTGAAAAAAGAACTCCTGCACACCTGGTAGAAAGCAAAATTGTGTTTCATCGGGTTTCCCACTTCTTACTTTGTTGAATTTGGCAGTAGTCCAGTTCTTCGTCTACTATCAAAAACTCGTAACCGTATCGATATTCCGAAACGAGGTGGCCTTCTGTTTATTCCTAACAACGCTATAAGTATACATTCGAAAGCTTCCTAAAGTGCACAGCCTACGAGAATTCCACCGAAAAGTACCAATACCGCGGTATTTTTTACCTCGTTACATCTTATTTTAGACCCGTTGTTCCGTAATAAACGATCCACGTTCAGGTGAAACTGCGATCATTAGATTAACCAAAGATATCAGCTATTCGATCGTCTTGTTGTCCAATTGGCCCAGACAATCAGAGGTCTATTGTACCACAGTTATCGAGAGAGCTAGGTGTTCCAAGAATTCATCGCTATTATCTGTCTCTGGCTCGATCACCTCTGACAATGAGTACATCCTGGAGGTGAGGGAGAAACAGTGCGGGCGAATAAGATTAAATGGCGGAGATAACTACGCGACAGCTAACGAGGTGAGTACTGCGACAGTTAACGAGGCAATGTTGTAACGGCAAAGATCGACTGGATATCGAGTCACTTTCGGACGTTTCATTTCGAACGACTCGATTGGAACGGTTCGATCGACAAATGGTCGATCGACTAAATGCCTACATTAACGCAAAATCGCGTACAGAACACGGAGGCGATCGCGTTACCGAGATTTCGGTAAGTTCGGTCCGAGATCGTACGTTTCTAGTGCTAGAAGACATCGAAAGTTTCATCTTGATAATACCGCCTCCGTAAAATATCCTATAATGAAAAATGGACGGCGGGGCGTGAAGGTTCTCGGGGAAATGTTCGTTCGAGACGATGAAAATTCTTTTCTAGCAATGCCGTTTTATCGGAATTCGGGCCGCTAAAAATATCAACGATAGGTCGCTCCCCTCTCCCGCCCCCGACGTATATAATCTCGCCCGCGAAAAATTTTCTACTCGTCGTTGAACGACGCTGAAAATTCCTTACCGCGTAATTCCATTTATTGGAATTCAAGCGTGAAAAGATCAACAAAAAGGACTCCTCGACGGGGAAAATGGAACAGGTTTCTCTCGATAAAACTGACCCACATTCAATCGCGGGAAACGAGTCTTCGAGTGCATTATTGAGGCGCACCGAGCACTTATTCGAAAGACGAGAGGATGACACGCTGAGTTACGAGCTTCGATTCCAGGTCGTGCACTCCTATTCAGCAAAAAATAAAGAAGATGAAGTTAAAAAAAAAAAAAGAAGAAAAAGGAGACGGGGAGGGGCGTAAGAAGAAACGAGAACTCCTCGAGCAGTAATCACGATTAATTAAAGGCTTTAGACCAACTCGAGTTCTTACGGTTTCCAGACCCTTTATGACACTTTCAATGCTCGGGCAGCCTTAAGGCTGCCTTTCAGTGAATTTCTTGTGAATTACTGGTATCTTTGTTTATCGAATTTCCTGCGATAATTATCGATCCCGGCGCACAGGCCTTATCGAGGAACAATTCATCCCGCTAAGTCTTCAGCCGCGGTTACGAATCGATATTTCAGGTGTTCTTGGAGCTTCGTAAAAAAATTAACAGAGAATACCTTGGAATATTTTTCACCTCGTTTTAATCGACGAAAAATAATTACTTTGAATTGTTTCCAACTTTTTCATCCTTCGGTTCTTGTTTTGTGAAATCAGCCATGTGCTTTTGACCGAATCATGCGGGCGGTTTCTACGTAGCCTTTTCGGAACGAATGTTCTGTGCAATTTATTGTATTCGCCAGGTCGTTGGAGTAATTTTCCGGCCTAGTTTTATACTTTTTCGCGAAATTCCGTATTCCATCGCGAGCAGTCTGAATCCTGAAGTCTAACGTTCTCGTTCTATTGCGGAGCGGGCGAGGATAAGTGGTACAATAGGCTGTGAAACGAATTCTTGCGTAAAAGAATAAATAGAATTTGCAAACTGGAAAATAAAATTAGCGCGTACGAGTCGCCGTGTTCTATGAAACCGGTTTGGAAATTCTCCGGGCCACGTTTGCGGTTGATTGCAGGTTGCCGGACGTGTCTGACCAATGCTTGACAATTCTACTCGCGCTCGCGTTCGTACACGTCGACTATAATTGTTTCCAACTAAACTGGAGATGGTAGAATTGATTCGAAACTCGGAATATAGAAGCTTTAAGATAAGTAGAAACGTTCTACCCGGGTGCATGGTTCGTCTTCAGATTTTCGAAAGAATATAAAATGTAATTGTTGCCGAAGTAAATGAACGCGTTACTTAAATGCGTTAGATCAACGAGAAATTTCTTGCATTGTGAGTGCTAGCTCGGATATCTCTCAATTTAAATTAAATTCGCAAAAGTTCTGGAAAGGAATTATATCGTAAATTTCTCAGCGTTTACAACTTTCTTCCAGCGCTATCTTCCACTTCTTTCGCACAAGGGTTGTACTTAAGGAAGCTATTTACTTCCCTCTTCTTGTAATATTTCCTTTAATCCTTCGTGCTTTTGTAAAAACTTCCAGACGCCGTTGCCAAGACGAAGATAAAAATAAAGAGCAGGGAATTTTAATCGAATCGGTAGTTCTAAACAATCGCGATTATATCACGTTTCCAAGATGACGGGACCCTTTTGACTCATTTGCGTACCAGCTGCTTGCGATAATAATTTTTATGCGAGCTCGAAGACGTTGCAGAATTGGGCATATAAATTAACGTGTAAATTACAGCGCTTCAGGTCTTTACAGTAATATTCAGCAATTCGTGGTAAAGGAAGGGGACTCGGAATAAATCAATGGATTTAAAAGATTACGAGTTTCTTAGAAAGGATCGCGGCATCCATTCATTCATGAATTCCCACCCACGTTTCTCAAACCGTTGGCTGCCCGGACCCGCTACTTCCTTACTGAATTTATCGATAATTTATTTGCGACAGCGAAAGCTCCCCGTAATCATTGAATTGCAAACGTATGGTGACGAAGGCGGAACGAAGAGCAACGAGTAGAAACTGTCGGCGTAATGATCAAACGGGAGGGTCCGATGAAATAAGAAAGGATCTCGTCGAAGTGAGATCGGATAATTCCGAAACCACGAGGACCGGTCGTCGGCAAACGAGATATCAGATGAAACTCGGAACGATGAGCATCGAGGACTCGACAAATTGGGACGAGTCACTTTCAAATTTCATCTTCGCTTTGGTGAACAATTTTTTGCGACTGCGAGGAGATGGGGAGGAGTTGGGAGGGGGCGCGGGGTTGGGGGGGGTGGGGATGGGAATACAACGCAAACAATACGATCAGTGCGATAAAAAGGAAACGAGAAACTCCGATGCAACCGGGGAGTTGTTAGAGTTTTCGAACTCGCTCCGATAATTGTGCAGTTATGGAAAATGTTTGATCGGAAACTGCTCCGTTAATTAGCGATAACGAGAAACGCGAAAGCGAAATTTGAAAGGCTTAAAGGTAATGAGAATAGTCGAACGAGTGTCATTTAGAGCAAGGGCGACGCGCAAGCGCCATTAGTATTTTACTGGTAATCTGTAATAATAGCGATGAAATAACTCGGAAATCGAATATCAAGTGGATCGTAATTAACGAAATTATCGTAGCTGCCGGAAAATTTGAAAATAAGGAAGCGTACAGCGTGCGAAGGAAAGGATCGATAAACATTTAACGTAGCTGGATAATAAAATGCAAATAACGACTGCATCGCAGACGAAACAAAACTTAATACGTGAACGTATACACGCAATTAACGATATACGGAAACTGTTGATTCGCCAATTGGTTATAATTCGTTCGATAAAGGCATCGCTCGCCACAAATCGCGTCTGGATCGCTATATCTCGTATCATCGAAGGTCGTATGTATTCGTGAAAGTGGTGTCACGCAACCTTGTGACCGAAGCGTCGATTAATTAGGTAACTATTCAACCATGCTGGTGTTACTCGACGTTACCAAAACAGTCACGCGTTCCTTTCAATTCATCTCGCATACCGACAAGGACAAAGGAAATAACAAGAAGAAAATTCCAAACATGACTGTCCCTACAGTGTAATTTATCTTAAGGATGGATTATCTATACCTTCTCAAGTTCTCGAAAAGAAAATTTACATTTCGTTATTCTCTTTGCACTTGTTGGTATGACAGTGTTCTCTTTAAATTTATTTTGCGCGATAACAAAAGCAAAAGGAAAAACGCGTGCTTTCGTTTCTTAAATAAGAAGATACCGCGATCCAATCGCGATACAGTATATTCAATCTTAAGGATGGATTATCTGTACTTTCTAAAGTAAAAGAAAATTTTAATTTCGTTATTCTCTTTGCACTTGTTGGTATGACAGTGTTCTCTTTAAATTTATTTTGCGCGATAACAAAGGCTAAAGGAAAAACGCTTGCTTTCGTTTCTTAAATAAGGAGATACCGCGATCCAATCTTCTGGCTCGACACGACGATAAAAACGAAAGTAACTACTGTAACGCGAAACTTCGGAGCGGAAGACGGATAGAATGAAACAAGAAGTTGTCACCTACGTACTAAATTTCAAACCACGGTAAACGATAATGAAAGGTACGACGATGAACTTGTAATTGGCTAGCCGTGAGAAAAGAAACGTAAACAACCACGAAAAATTCCTCGGCGTCAACGACCACTCTCCGAAATTCACTTCACCATCGAGAAAGGATGGTGATGGAAAAAGAATTTTTCGTAACGAATCCGTGCAGCGTTACGAGGTCGGTCGACGGTGCCTCGAAACCGAATCACCGTATACAAACAACAACGTTCCCGCTAATGGAGATTTTCCCAAACGCTGCGACGCGAAACTAACTCTCTCGCGTAAGTTTCGGCGCTGTCTAAGGGATTGGTGGCACGATAAAGTTGGCATTGGAGGGTACGATAAAAAAAAGTGCCTGCTCGCTGTCAACCAAAACAAACTTGGCGTACAAAGAGGTCAACGGACCCGAACGAATTAGGAGAACGGTCGGAAACGGGGTCGAAACGGATCAAACGGATCAGAGAACACGCGTCCTCTTTGTCCTGTTACCTGGGGATTGAAGATCGAGGTTGCCTTGCCGAAAGAGTTGCCATCTGTTCGTATACCCGGGAGTGTAGGAGCGTTCGCTGTCGGCAGATCCCTCGGATTCATCGAGATCTCGGGCCCCGGGTGGATCTTCCTGTTCCCCTGGCTGCCAGCCGAGGGTCCCATGCTCGGGGCCTTCACCATCATCGGCCGCACCCCGTCGACGATCCCTGCGTCCCAGCGGTCCTCCCGATCCACGCGAGAAAAACACGCACCTTCACGCACCCGACACGCAGAGACGACCTAGCCGAGCACACTGGCCGCCGGTCTATCGATCTGTCTTTCTCTTGTTTCCCTCGAGGAACGCGAGAAACGGAGGAAACAAAACGGTCCTGCGGCCCTGACGGTAGGACCTTGCCGAGGACCTACGAAAAGGTGGCCACTCACCACCCAGCGTCCTCGTCGACTATCTCCACACTCCGTTCCCTCCCTCGAACGAACATCGTCTAGTTCCGTCGACTTACCCCCGACCCTCACCCCCACGACGATAGCGCCACGCGGATCAACCGCGAACCCTCCACAGGGGTTGCATCCCGACGAGAGAGGTCTCGCCTAACAGAACTTTGGCCAAACTCTGCGCGATCAACCGGGGTGGCTGCAAGGGGACAATTTCATTCCGCTAATGAACGATGCGTGAATGTTTTCATTAATCCCGTCCGCCACAGGTACAGAAGGAGGTGGAGAGGGGTTAGGGTGCGTAACGTTTCGTTTACCCGAGTAATATCGTTAGCTGCGGCCGGGGAATTTAATAAACCCTTTTCCGTTGCTTCGTTTGTTTTCTCGTTGGTTTCATGGACGGATCGAGCGCGGCTTGGTAATGTCTTTCAGGTTGTTTACGTCCCACGAGTTTTTATTATTACCGTTGCGATATGTTGCAAATCCTCGAATGACGATTCAAGTGAGGATTATCGTTCTCGGGTGTTCTAGATTTCGTTTGTTATCATTATTTCTATAAAAGTTGGTGTTTGATTCTTTTTTAATGATGGAATATACTTTTTTTTTTTTTAAAGTTTATTAAGTTTATTGGAGTTTCGACCCCGTGGCGACCAGAGTCTGGTCGAAGGTCGCGGGGTGGAAAATGGGGCGGAGGTGCTCGAAGGCTGATCGCTGCAACGAGGGTGAATGCCGTCCGTCGGAGAGACTTTTGGATTAGGGTAGGGATGAATTGATGGTGGCGATGGTGAATGCGTGGAGGAAATTGAGACGAGCGATCGCAGTAGCAGTTACCGCCAAGGGAATCGCGAGGGGTTGGAAGATGGAGGGAGTTCACGACTCACTGTTTGCGTTCTTTCTTTCGTCCTTACGCGCCGTGGAGCGTTTGCGCTGCCAATATTTCAGCAGTCGTTAGGTGGTAGGCATTGCTCGTGGGAATTCGCTTCGCAGTCTGAAAGTATTTACATTTCATCAGCGACGAATCTGAAAGGGGGTGGAACAGGAGGAGACCTTGATGAACTCGGCTGTGCTTTGAAATATGATTTCTGGTATTTTCTTTAGTTAAATTTCTGTATGTTTTCGCATAATTTTGCCTGGTTCCTGAAATTTGGCTGCAGGTGCCATTGTTACGTGACTCCAAAAATACTTACCGACAACTTTCCCATAATTTGGAGACATTATCCTATCGGACAAGCATTATTCTAACGTTGCTTTCGAACCAGAATAGTTTGAAAACACTTCAACGAATTCTGTTATAAAAACACTGGTGATTCCATGGAGAGAATGAAATTGATCTTCAAACGTCCACCACGCCTTCGATGATGAAAAAAGTATTGACGCGATATCGTGTTCCTCTTGAAGCAACTCCTCCCTATTATTGAAACTAAGAAAGATATCGATATAGCGGATTTCCTTTGGGTCACTCTGTATATAATATACATTATCAATCACGTTACGTTTGTTCTTCGGAAATATTTCTTTCTTTCTTACGCACTTGCTTTCTTACTACCCATAATCTTAAAAGCAACAGCCTATTATAGATATTACTCTTGTAGGAGTGTGATATATAATACGAGGATAAGTGTGTGTGAGTGTATCCGTGAATGCAACGGTTTCGTGGGAACGCGATGTGATTTGTTATTTATAATAATTCGGAGTTCAGTTCGGTCGAGAAAGTTTTTAAAAGTCAGACGATAAAATATACGTTGTCAGACTGCAAATCGTTTGAAAGTCATTTGATTCCTACACTCTGGACATGTAACGGAGCAACTGTTTTCGAGGCAGCCTAATGCATGACAGTTTGCTGAAAAATAGCCTCGATTTTCAGCGATAACAAAAGGAAAGAACCATCGCAAGAACTGTACGGGCTACGTCGTAATTGATCCAATCTTCGCGAAAGAAAGACGTTTGCGCTTGCAGCAATCAATGAACGTCACCGCGTTTAACAAAAGATACGGAAAGCGTTACACGCCGCCTACAAACGAACCAGCTGTCCGACAATCGAAAAAAAGGGGGTATTGGTCGCGGGATATCAGGCTAGGGTTGAAAAGACCATGTTCTACGTCATCAACCAGCGGTGGATGTTGAAGCATCGACGCCTACGCGAGAACCAGACGTGCACGCCTACTCGAGGAAAAACGGCGCATGATATAGCTGACACCCGATACAGACGCCAGCACAAAACGGTCTAATTTTCTCGCTGAGAGATACAATCGATAGATTCGGACCTTCCTTTGGCGATTTCGTTGGAAAGTTTGCTAAGGATCTAATAATATTTATTACTTCTTTTCGAAATCCGAAGAGTTGGATGGATCTCTTCAAAGACTATGAATGTTGGTCAGGTCTGACGATGAGATGGTCGTTTCTCTCGATAGCTTCCGTAATAGAGAATTTTCTGCACATAGGTCGGAAACTCCGTGGCTTGGACGCGTTTTCGACGTATCGACTTAGGGAGTTAGGATTACCGGCACCTGTTCAAATTCACGAGCTTCCCTGTTGCGACTCAGTGGGCTGATAGATGCTTCAGCGGCATCTTTTCAATTGATATACGACGAAGGAATTTTTTCTGAGAATAAATTCTTTCGATCGGAGCCTAAATAAAATATTTTCATCGCAACAACGCGAAATTTACGATTTCCGTTCTCGGAAATAACGAGATTCGACAAGTTCAAGAAACATTAAATTGTTATCTGATTTTGTACAGCGCTGAATCATTGCTTTTCAAAGAACTCGGGAATGCTTTTTATCCGTAGCGTTTTATTTGAGAAATGTTTCTCTGCTTATCAGCTTGCTAGGTCAAAAAAAAAAGAAAAAAAAAAAAGTATGGCTCTAGGTCGTCCCGATACTCCTCCTAGTGCCTACTAAAATATTCTTTTATCGGTTAATTTTATTACTTTTCTTTTCCAAGAATTGCTTCTCGTTCCGGGTGGAAAAATTGGAGCCTCCCTTGGTGCACGTTTCGCTTCTGTAATGGATCGTTATCGATGCGAACGTGGCGCGTCAGGCGTTCGAGGATCTCATTGAGGCTCGACTAATTTTAACGCAGACGAATCGGTGAACGACTTTTGATGGTAAAGCAAATATTTCGCAATTCGTTTCCCGAATGGAGCGATTTCGCTGATCTTTTACCCAATCCGTGGGAGCTTGAACGTTTGCGGCGCGCCGCGCAAATAAACATTGCTAAATTTATAGAACTGGAATGGAACTGGTCGTTTCTTAATCCCCACCGAGACAGCGATAGTCTTCGAGCAACCACGAAGACACATCGATACCGTCTTCGACGTGAAATGTCTGTGAATTCGAATCGCGAAGTGAACATCATCGTAGATCTTTCAAACAAGAAGAGTTTTATGAATGAAAAGTTACGGAATGGTGTGAAATTGACGAAGACATGAAGCCTTCGTTGACACGTTCGACGGACTGTTGGTAAGTCAAGTTCTTTTAGAAAAGAGTTTTTTTATTTACCGGGATAAATTTTAATCTTTGTTGGCACTAGATTGTTCTCTTGTCGCACTTTGCTTTCGAATGAAAATGTTTCGTTTCGAACGCAGAATTCCAATAACGTTTGCTACATTTTATTGCTTTTATCAGAAATGGAATCAAATGCGATATGTATACGACAAATATTGACAGGAGCATGAAAACCACGGCTGTTGTACCAAACTTTGCAGCTTTGTAGTTTCCCACTTTTTCCATGTTTCTGTTATCGATGATAGGAAACATCGCCGCGTGTTTGAAAAAAAAAAATATAATATGATAAATAAAGTAATTCAGGAATTAAGTGGTTAAATTGGAGTTGATTCGCAAAGAAATCGGTATAAAAAATTCGTTGAGTATATGCTGCGACGATGGTGCATAGAGTCACCTTGGGTATCGAGTAAACGAATCTGGATATAGACGCCTATTTTTGTCATTTATAGAGACTCGTTACGAGAATGGTTTACATCGATGATTGTGGAAATTTACCGTTGTTAAGAAATGGAACAGGGCGAGTCTTTGAGGCGGTGTATTGTTAGATCGATTGTTCGATTGTTTCTGATCAAATTAATGGAATGCATTTGAGAAAATTCCAAATAGTAAACATTCCTGACCTATTAAAACCATTATTTGTATTATAGATTCGTGATTGCAAAATATCTATAATAAATTTAACGTGCTTTTTAACATGGCTACGAAGTTCAGTCGTCGTTGTTTACTTCTCGTTTATTTCTTTTATAATTTACATTTTTTTTTTAAACACCTAACAGGGTTAACAAGGATAAAAAATTACTATTTACGTATAACAACTACAGTTCTACTGTACAAACATATAAAGTAATTTAAGGGAAATACCCTTTAAACATCTGTGTATTCACAACATGTTCATGTGTTGTTTATTCGACTAAATAGCTACCTATTACACAGTTGATCGTATCCATAGTTAATTAATGTTTCTTTAACTGATTCAAATTCCGCGCGGTTAATTAGGCGCCATCTATCGATGAACAGTCCGAACTAATTTTCGAAGTATGGTCAGCGCAAGTTTGTTCTCAATAGTTCCGTTTTCACCGCTAGATGGCGCTTTTAGATGGTAATTACCGACATGATGGTAATGTACCGATAGTTGTCGGTAATTTACCATTGAGTGGCGCCATCTAGACGTGAAAATACGAACTATTGAGGACAAACTTGAGTCTTTTCCCGATAGAGGCGCTGACCATACTCCGAATAGTTCGGCCTGTTCATCGCTAGATGGCGCCTAATTAACCGCGCGAAATATGAATTACTTATAGAAATATTCAGAGTAATTTGAAACATACATACGATCAACCGTATAATAATTTTATTTGCGTGTATTTTAAAGCTTTCCATGCATATTCGAACCAATGGAAAATGTTTCCAAGTGACGATTTAGTGAACCTACTATGTATAAATGTAAAATATTCCGAGCAATCATATAAAGAGTAATTGTATTTTACGATTGTAACAGCGTGTGCAATTGTGGACAAACAAAAACACTAAACTATATTCGAAATCCGTTTATAACTCTCCATCAATTGTATATATACATAGTTCAAACGAATTTGTTT